TCCGCCCAGATACACTTTCACGTCTGGAAAAGCGGGTTATTGATATCATTTGGAGCTTCAAAGCACAGTCTTAGTCTTAGTTCATCCAGGGGGACTGAGAACGACGAACATCTCAAATTTTTCATTCTGCCGAGCCTCTGCCTTTAATGAGAACAGGCCATAAACTAAAGTCAGCATTTTGAAAAGCTACTAATTTCTTGCAACGTAATTGCTTAATGTGTAGACTACGCATGACGGGCTTGTAGTTTCGCTTTCGCCTGAATCACTGAGATATCATATTTTGTTGTGAAAATTTCAGGGTGTCTTGCAAGCACTGAATCCGTTCAAGGTACTTGTGTGCGAATCATCGCTAACAATTCGTACCTAAGCTTTTGCTAATTTTTTTGAGTTATTTAGCAGTAACATAGAGGTTTTTGACTAACAGCTGGTCTGCTGACCAGTCACAAAGAGTTTTATTTGCACAGCTTTTAGAAGAATGCTTATGCTACTTCTTGATTTTTTGTTTTCCAATGTAACAGTCAACGATGACTTGTGCTTGAAATGCTTTTTTCTCTATCGTGAAAATTTCTGTCACATAACAACAGAGCACAAATAATCGGTGGTGTTACTTTGAATAAATGCAGGGAGATCCTTCAATAGCAAGAAATATATATTTCAGCAAGTGTACAAGTCACGATCGGAGAATCGTGCACGAAAAGCTCTCCGTACGATCACATTCATCCTTGGAGCGTTTATCATACTATGGACACCATTCTATGTCATGGCTACCGTTTATGGTTTCTGCGAAAGCTGCAAGAACTCACCATTATTCAACTTAATCTATTCAATTAGTTACTATCTGTGCTATATGAATTCACCGCTAAATCCGTTCTGCTATGCGATGGCCAATCAACAATTTAAGAAAACGCTCACAAGAATATTTAAGGGTGATTTCAGGCGGATTTAGGTAAGTTGAGCACAATTAGACTTTTCTCTAACTCGAAATGAACAAATTGATTTCAGCTCTTGTCATACCGCCGATCTAGCTCAATCAAGCAAATGCATAGAGACGGAGATTTTCACTTGAAAAACATGACTGCTGATTTCCAGAATAATTTCTTTACACTTAGACCTGTGATATAATGGTGCTCTCAATTGAATTGTAAAATTACTATGTTTGATTTATCTAAATTCTATATTGATTATATGATTATTTTGCAA